GGTTTACGGAAAGCACGCCACCACAGCAACCCAAGGCAAACACACACCGCCTTGGTTCTTGATTTTTAATAATTTAAATATTTTTCATAACAAAAACAATTTAATTATTTATTTATAGGCGGTGGGACAACAAGGCTCCATTTTTTGTGGGTCCGAAATTTCGGGTCCGGGTCAGGCCCCACCCATCCATGATTGATATTTTCTTTGATGTTCATGATTGATAATTTTGAGAACAGAAGGTGGATATTTTGAACATGTGAAACTCTTTTCAAGAACTAAACTTTGTTCTTGATTGATCAATGTTTAGACGTGTAGTTGGTAACTTGATGTATAATACAATTATCCATTCATAGTCTTCCTTAAGAGTTGTTCTATGCTTTATTTAGAAGTTAGAACCATAAAACAAAAATAATAACTATTAAGTAGAAACAATCATTTCTGTTTTCCTCATTTAAGTATTTAAGCATCTCTAATTATAAATTTTAATGACAGTCGGCCATAAAAACCCAAAATATCTTTAATGATATTGTTAGGTGCTTACAGAATCCATGAGAGAATAATTTTTGAAAAAAATTTCTAACCTGATGGTATTAAAATTAAATAAGCACGGACCGTACAAGCAAGGAGAGTTGAGAAGGGGGAAAAAAGAGATGGGCATTTTTTATTGCAAACCCATTCTCTCTATCTCTCTATCTAATATTATTCGTTTTGCAACATAATCTTACTATATCACAACCTTCTCATAAAAAGTGGCAAAAAATATCCCATATGATAAAAGATATTAAGAAAAAAAAAAAAAATAACCAACACTTACTCCCGCTTACATTCTTACATCATCCATCTTCTTCATTCTCCCACTACATACTCCTCTTTTTTTTCTCTTTTTTTTTTTTTTTTAAATCTATAACATACTCCCCTATCAGGATTGAGGAGCCTGATTTTAACTTGGGTTAAAAAGAAAATATTAGAAGACTAATAAGAAAATTAAACTTCCCATTTCCATTGTATATATGGCTTCAACGTTCTAATAGTTGTCCTTGGGACCATTGCGGAACAACCACCGAAAAAGCCACCGGCTGCTGCACTGGAGCAGTGGAACTGACCCAATTATCACATGATATTGCAGCTTGAAGTATTCTCATCACTGAAGAGGTGGGTATACGGGTCGGGTTGAGACGGGTAAGAGTAAGGCGAAGGGGACGGGTAAGAGTAAGGCGAAGGGGACGGGTAAGGGGAAGGGGACGGGTAAGGGTAAGGGTAAGGGGGCATGTAATTGACTGCAGGAGGTGGCCTGGCATACATCATGGGCTGGAACCCTTCATTCCCCATGGCGGCACGTTGTTGGTTCATCATTGCTGCCAGAACCTGTTGTTGTTGCTGCTGTTGATGGTATGGGTTGCCGGGCATGGGATCCGGCCCGGCTCCTTGGAAGTACCCGCTGCCACCGCCACCGCCTCCGCTTCTCCCGTTCATGGCGTTTGCTGGTAGCCCTTGTACCGCCGGGATGTTGCCCATTTGGCCCATAGGCATATTACCCATTTGATCCATAAAAATGGGCATGTTGCCCATCTGACCCATGTTGCCGTTGGGGCGACCCGTGCTGTCGAAGAAGCCATCATGCCCCTTTTTCGAACTGCCACCGTTAGCTCCCCCATGATTATTACCACCACCGTTCTTATTACCCCCACCACCGCCACCATTATTACCATTTTTGCCATCTTGTGGTAACCCACCGCCACCTTTACCACCGTTTTTACCCCCACCTTGATTTTGATTCCCTCCATTGTTGTTACCCCCACCACCACCACCGCCACCCTTTTTACCTCCATTTCCATTTTTACCCTCACCATTCCCACCCCCACCGACAAAATGAACCGGTACTGCATTCCCACCGCCACCATTACCTCCCTTATTACCATTAGGCACACCACCCTTCTGGCCATTCATCATATCATTCGAGAGCATCACGGATTTCATCCTGTTGGGAGGCAGCTGGAGCTCATCCAGTTCATCAAAATACTCATCATCATCAATATCCTCATCATCATATAAGTCATCCTCATCATAATCACTAGAGTCACCATCTTCAACCTTCTGGTCCTTCAATTGGTGCTGCTTCTGATCTTGAAACGCTTTCATTTGCTGCAATTGCTGAAGGTCTCGAGTCTGCTGCAGCAGCTGGGGGTGTGATTGTAGAAGCTGCTGCAGCTGGGGGTGTGACCGTAGAACCTGCTGCAGCTGTTGGGGGGGTAACTGTAGAATCTGCTGCAGCAGCGGGGGGTATGACTGTAGAAGCTGCTGCAGCTGTTGGGGGGATATCTGTAGAATCTGCTGCAGCTGTTGGGGGTTTAGCTGGGGCACTCCTTTAGGCTGATTATTCTGATTATTGTTGTTATTATTACCCTTCTGGCCCTTGTTACCATTGTTGTTACCCCCTTTTCCATTGTCAGTCTGCACGTTCTTCGCCTGATTGGCAGCATGGTTATGGTTTTGGACCTTTTGGTTGTTGTTAGGCTTCTGGCCACCACACAGCTCTGCATGTTTGCCTGATTTTGCAAGTTTCTTGATTAGATCAGCAGGCTCCACATTTCCTGAGACTGTTACCTTTCCTTGCTCTGCATCTATGATGGTTTTGTAAACCCCTGGAAGAATGAAATCCAGATTGAAAAACCCAGAAGTTGGAAATGGAACACCATTTAAACAAATAGAAAGAGAAAGAGACTCACAAGTCTATAAAATAAAGGAACAGTGATTAGAACATGTATTGAAAATTTGGGGGAAAGAAGAAATGGGGTGAGATAAATGAAAGCATACCCTCAATTCTCTGCAAGATTTTCTTGACCTTACGCTCACATCCATCACAGTGTATGTTCACTTTGAGGACACAAGTCTGCAAGAGCAAGCAACCAGAAGAAGAAAACCAGAGTAAACAGAGGCATAATTCAGAAACAGGGAAACCAAAATCAAGCAACCTTACTTGAAGAAATAAAAAGCAAACAATAGACAAAACAGCATTGAGTTGAAATGAAGCAAAGTACTTGGAAAAATTAGACAGAAAGAGAGAGAAGGCGTGTACCTTGATCTTCATAAACTCTTCTTTACTCATTTCTTCAACTCAAAAACAACAAACAGATGGGTAAAACAGTAGAAACAGAAGCACAGATCTGATAAACAGAAAGCAGGTAAACAGAGAAGAGGAAGATGAATTTACAACCCCGAAACAAAAAGGGCTTTTCTTTGTTCTATCTTTTGGGTCTTTTCCAACAGGAAAAAAACGGAGAGAAAAACAAATTGGTCTCAGTCCCTCTCTCTGAGCAGAGAGTTTAAAGCACCCCCAAAAACAAAAACAAAAACAAAAACAAAAACAAAAACAAGGCCTCAGTATTGAAGAAAAAGAAAGAGATTCACAAATCACAAGGTGCTGGTGCACATTAAACTTCCCTGGTGGTAACACTGCGTCCTCTATTTCAGGGTAAGCGAGAAAGGATGACTGCTGAGAAAGAGAGAAAGGGTTTCAGTTCCAGCAATGTGGAGAGAGAAGAAAGAGTGAGAATGCTGCAAAGGCTTCCGCTTCTATCTTGCTAATAGTCCTTTATTATTGTTATATACATATACATAGAAGTGTAGAAATGTACCATCTTCCTTTTTCTTTAAAAAAATAATATTGCACATTTTTTCATCTCATGAAGCAGTTCCTACAAATCTTTGCACATTTTCATTTAACTCATTTATTTATCCATTTCACTGTTTGCTTGGCTCAGAAGGGTCAACACCATTATTTGGCTTCTTGAAAAATCTTCTTGTTCCCTTTTTTTTTTTTGGGCATTTTTCACCATGGGTTTGGGTAAAATAGTTTTTTGCCTTTTTTTGATGAGGGGGTTTTGGGTAAAATGGTGAGGTTGACAAAATGGGGTATAAACACATATGCAGGGTTGGTGATTTCTCAGATTTGTTTTTAATCTTTGATAATTATTATCATCACCAGATGTGAATGAACTCTGTCAGATCTCTCCTCATCCAGTTTGAATGGAACAATAAACAATGACATTTAATGGGGCAATGCGTTTGGAATTGGAAACTTATTATTTTACTTACCGTTTCTGATATGTTACTGGCACACCTTATTTGCATATCCATTTAAAATGACCATCATACCATACTCCTTTGGGCTCAAATTGCAACATCTCTTGCCCACAAACAGTCCCACCATTTGCTGCTTCTTGGACCCTATTGACCCACTTCCATCTTTTCATGTTAGAAAGGGTTTTGTATGTGTCACTGTATGAATTGAATTGAATGTAATCGGTAGTGTGAATCTCCTTGGCCATCTCCAACATCAAATAACTCCAACAAAATGGCGATGAATACTAAAACCAATTTCTTTTGACGGTAAATGGTTGATTATTCTTTTCGTTTTTCTTTCTTGTTGGAAACGATTAACAGATGAAACTTCATATCAAAGTCATCCTTTAGTTAAGGTTACATAAATATTGTTTAATTTAATTAATATTTTATTAATTTATAAAATTTTTAAATAATTAATTATGATATATGAAAATATCAATTTATAAATTTATTTTAATTTCTTAAGTAATAAATATTAATTATTTTATTAATTATTAATAATTTTTAACAATTAAATCATACAAAATTTTATAACTGTTTAAGAAACATTAACTTATACCCACATGTTATGTCCACAAGTAATAAGTTTGCACTAGCTAAAATTTCATAATTGAGTAAACCCACCACCATCTGTACGAAACCTAGCAATGAATTTGTGCAAGAAGGATACAAAATATTTCAACCACTAAATGCTTGGCTGACATCTCATTTGTCATCAATCAATGTAGAGATACGAATATGTTAGAATTAGATATATGTTTGTAGCATATAACCAATGAGTTTGAAAGAATGTAAATTGCAATTCCAACTAATCAATTTATATGGATCAAATGGTTGGTAAAAAGGGTAGTTGACACTTTATCTTTGGTACTAAATACATATATCTAGGGAATCCAATATTAGATAGAAAGAACATTCGTCTTAATTTAGCCTGATGTAGCATATTTCCTTTATGTACAAATGAATACGAATATACCATACAAGATTTGATTATAAATTCTTAATACAATTATTGAAAAACTTTTTTATTACAAAATTCTTAGTTCGATATTTAACATACCCTTTTTTTGTTAATTGTTGGAAGAAAAAGTCGAGAGATGGTATTAAGCTCTTTTCTTGTTTCTTGTTTCCATGGTATTGGTATCAAGTAAGCTAATTTATTCAAAAAATACACTTAAAATATATATAAAGTCTATTATTTTCACTGTTTAAATTGTAAAAAGAGATCTTTAAATAAAAGAACAACCCTTTATATTAAGAGATTCATCTCATTTAAAAGTTTATTTAACGTAGTCTATACTGTGTTAAACTACACTCAACATTACTCAACATTTCATAATATGTATACCCCACTTTTGTTTGAATTGTTCTAAATGGGGTTTGAAGAAAAGTGACATGTTAGTGAATTGGGTTTCTGAAAGAGAATTTGTAAATGTAACAGAGCTGTAGCTCTTATTCTCTCCATTTTTTTTCTTTTATTTTCTGCTGTCAAATAAAACCCTAAAAACAACAGTCTCCACACCACAACTTCCAGCCCATATTGTCACCCACAAATGGTAATGGTAATTATTCAAAAAGGCAAAATTCCCTGCCCTTGCTAAAGGTTGAGAGAGCATTACTCATGAGTATGATGTTTCAATTTGAAATAAACTTTTCCCTTCTTCGTGACAACTACTTTCGGTTTCAAATACTTGTTGCTTAACCTTTTGCAATCAACTCAAGTAATGTTTTTTAATATCTATGCAATTCTCGTTGAATAATTTTATTTTGTAAAAAGAAATATACTATTATCGTACAAAAGTATTATCTAAATTTGAAAATGGAAGGAAAACCATATTCAAAGAGGGTGTAGTAAATCATTTTAATAAGAAAGAAGGGTAACTAATACAGTAAAAGCTCAATTGAATTAAATCATGGTTTGCTTTAACCGCAATGAGGTGTTGAAAGGTACCCCAAAACTTAGACCCCTATGATTAATCACGTTTGTAGGGCTATTTTCTCTAAGTGTGAATCCTTCTTTTGTACGCAAATTATTGTTTTTTTTTCTTCTCAAAAGCCTAAAACTGTGATCAAACTCCTCGTGCCTTTGCCCTTATGTTTCCCTCTTTTCTCCTTTGAAGATGTCACTTTACCAGTAAAAGATCCATTTATATGGTGACAAATGACCCCTACAAAATGGATTTTATCCCTCACCAATACAAATTTCCTTCCCTCTTTCAAACTTGGACACTTTTCAGTGTTGTCAACCTAGTCGAATGGATAAAATCCTTCGCCGGTTGTGTTAAGATTTTGTGTTCTAATCG